GGCCCCCCATCAACACCCCCCATCCCTCCCCCACCACCCTTCCCCATCCCTCACCGCCGCGCGTTCTCCTCCTCCACACCCTCCAGCCCCAGCGCAGGGCTGAGCAGCCCATCCCACAGCTCCTCATGGTTCCCAGCATCCAGAGCTCTGTTCACCAACGCCACAGCCGACAGCATCTCCACGGCCACAAACAGCTCCTCCTGCAGCAGCTCGCCCTGCACGGGGCACAAACGCACCCTGAGCCCCCACGGGACCCTTCCTCCCTCCCCAACCTTCACACCCCACGACACCCTGGCTGCCCCACGGGGAAGCCGCAGCCCCCCACCCGCGGGTGCTGGCGCTGCAGCAGTGCCAGCTGGTGTTGGTAGAGCGCAGCAGCGTGGGGGAGCGCGGCCGGGAGCTGCGCCGACGGCTCCAGCAGTGCCTGCAGCGTGGCAGCCGGGATCCCTCGCCGGATGGCCGCGTTGATGGCGCTCACAGCCCGCAGCGCTGCCGGACACAGCGGGGATGGGGCTGCAGGAGCCACGCGGAGCTGCGCCCCATTGCAGCCCCTCTGGATTCCACGCTCTCCCCCCCTCCCCCCCACCTGGGCCACCCACACGCTCCCATACCTCTCCCTCCTTCCCTCCCAGCCACCCTCATCTGTAAGGTCAGGTCACCCAGAGCCCCAAACCGCACTGCCCCATAACCCTCCGCTACACCGCCCCGCATCCCTCCTTTCTTAGGATCCCCACAGAGCTCCCCTATCCTGATCTCCTATTGCAGCCCCCCCAGCCATACAACCCCACATCCCCCTTCTCCAGCCCCACGTGCCCCCCATGCCCGCTTACTGGCTCTCTCCTCCTCTCCCCTCTCGTTGGCCACCTGGATGCCCATGGCCACCTCCTCCTCATCCAGCAGCTCCACGTAGCCCAGCTCCTACGGGTGCAAAAAGCATTGGGCCCCCCCCCCCACAACTCCACCCTGAACCCCCCCACCCTGAACCGCCGCTCCCAGCCCCCACCAGAGCCTTCTGCTCCCGCTGCACACGGAGCTGCTCCAGGCAGAGCTGCAGGTTGTCCCGCTGGAGGTGGGGGAGGCTGAGTGCGGGGTCCTGCAGCGCGCGGTGCAGCAGCAGCGCATCCCCTCTCTGCACAGCATCGTCCACCTCCTCCAGAGCTGCGTGCACTGCAGGGGAGGGGGGAAAGGGCACAGTAGGGGGTCAGGGCGAACCCAACATCAAACAAAGCTGACATCTCTCCATGGAAATGCCCGGTGGGGTCACAACCCCCCCGCAAAGGAGAGCGGGCGTGCAGCTCACCGTTCACCCTGCTGATGTTCCCCTGGATCTCCGCCTGCGTCAGGTACTGGGTGTAGATGTCCTCCCCTTCCTCTGGGACCTGCGGGTGCCACTGTCACCATCCTGCGCCCTCCACTCGCTTTTCCCAACCCACATCCCAAAGATTAAAGAAAAAGACCCAACCTCCCCCCATTTCTCACTGATTTCCCCTGGCGCAGCCCCGCGGGAGCTGAGTGCCTCCCTCACAGAATCACAGAATGGCCAGGGTTGGAAGGAACCTCAAGGATGATGAATCTCCAACCCTCTGCCACATGCAGGGCCACCAACCATCCCACCTAATGCTACACCAGGCTGCCCAGGGCCCCATCCAACCTGGCCTCAACACCTCCAGGGATGGATGCCCATCCACAGCCTCTCTGGGCAGCTGTTCCAGCACCTCACCGCTCTCACAGCAAACAACTTCCCCTGACATCCAGCTGAAATCCGCCCTCCCTCAATTCCAGCCATTTCCCTCGTCCTGCTCTCATCTCCCCTTCCCAAGAGCTGACTCCCCTCCTGTTTTTGGGCTCCTTTTAGTACTGCAGGCTGCAATGATTCACCCCGCAGCTTCTCTTCTCCATGCTGAACAAGCCCAGCTCCCTCAGCCCATCCTCACAGGGGAGGTGCTCCAATCCCCCGATCACCTCACCCCACACCCCCCATTCCTCACCCGCTCCCCGCAGCTGCCCTTCTCCCTCTGAGCCCCGCGCAGCACATCCTGGTAAGCGGCCGCCAGCTCCGTGCGCAGCCCCCGCAGCATCGCCCCGGGACGGAGCAGCGCCTCCATGGTCCGCCCCGCATCCCCGCGCTGCACCGCCACGTTGATGGCCAGCACTGCGAGTAGCAGCGTGCAAAGGACACGTGTGAGGCCGCCCCCCCCTGCTGACACCCCCACGTCTGCAATTTGGGGGTGGCAGAAGGAAGCGTGTCCCCCCCACACATGCAGCACCTGCTGCCTCATCCAGCGAGAGCTCATCAGCCAGGATGCCCCCGATGCGGCCGAATGCGGGCAGCTGCAGCCCCAGCTTCTCCAGCTGCCGCCCTGCGTCGCTGATCTCCTCCTCTGGAGCAGCAGGGGAGATGGCACCGCTCGGCACCACAACCCCCAATCACCCCTAAATCCCACCCCCAAAGGGACCCGAGAGCCGCACCCCCCCCCACGCAGGGCCATACCCGTGAAATCCACCTTCCCAGACAGGTCCTGGATCTGCGGTGCCAACCCCAGTTTGAACAGGTAGAGACTGCGGGACGGAGCGCAGCGTCAGCCCCCACCCCACCGCTGGGACAGGATGGGGGTCTGCAGCCCCACAGCCCCCGACTGGGGCAGCCAGGGACAGCAGGTGGAGGCACCCATCCTGCAGTGACACAGCCAGGGGGTGGGGGTGGGGGTGGGGGTGGGGGTGGGGGTGGGACCCCCCCCAACCTGAGCGCATGGAGGCAGTACACCGCCCTGGGCATGTTCTTCTTGTCGTAGATGTCGGTGGTCTCCGGGTGGAAGATCTGAGGGTAGCAGCAAGGGGGGGGGGGGGGGG